GGACAAGGAAGGGGATTGTAAACTAGACCTCGACATCCTCAAAACTTAGCACATGATCTCCGTGTTGCGCGCACCCTTGACGAGACGATCAGTTTTTCGAGCGGCTAACGTTCTGCGCAACAGGAACCCTGGCGGTCGTGGCGCCGCCCACAGTGCCAAAACAGAAAACCATTCGAGCCGAGATCGCAAGGAAACCAACCTCGGTGTCGCTCGACGGGTCTAATATCACATCTACACCAGGCACAGAAATGGTGGCGCGCGGGTGGGTGATGAAAAACACAAGCGAAGCTTGAAAATATACTTTATGGACAAGGAAGGGGATTGTAAACTAGACCTCGACATCCTCAAAACTTAGCACATGATCTCCGTGTTGCGAGCACCCATGACGAGACGATCAGTTTTTCGAGCGGCTAACGTTCTGTGCAGCAGGAACTCTGCCGGTCGTGGCGCCGCCCACGCTGCCAAAGAGGCAAACGTGTCGAGCCGAGATCGCAAGGATACCAACCTCGGTCGGTGTCGCTCGACGGGTCTAATCCCACATCTACCCTAATCATGCCCCCAAGCTGGCGTAGACCAGTTCACACATGAAGATGCAGATACCGAACGGGGGCCTGGAAGACCCCCGCGACTTTGCGACAAAAAAGCGACAGGGACCAGAAAACGGGGTAAACACAGCCTTGTAAAATGCGTTCGCTTTTGCAAGCCACGGAAACGGAGTCCCTGGAGATCGCGAGCACTGATCCCTGAGTAGAAAGAGAGCAAAGGTAGGCGGTGTTTGCTGCCGAGGGCGCCTAAGGCATTACCGATACAGAACTCGACTCGCCCGTGGAACTTACACTGCCGCTGTCGCTCATCGGCGCTACAGCCGTAGCGGACGCCCCCCACCAAAAATACACATCTTAGTACAAGCGCGAAACACGCGGAAAACTTTGGCGAAGGCGAGAGATCACCAGCCCGACTCGGCAATCACACGTAGCGCGCGCTCGCGAATGATATCTGACACCAGCGCTTCGGCATGAAAACCACGGCCGACAGGGCTCTGGCACCTCACGCGGGAACCTCCTCTACCGAGGGCTCTCCCCAGACTGCGGCTATGCGGCCCCCGCACAACTATCCAGCGGGGTTCGCCATCTAGTTCGGAAGGAAAACGGGCGCGGCCTGCCCCCCCAACAACATGTCCCCGAAACGCTCCTCGTACAACTCGGCCTGGCCCTGACATGGCGCGGGCAGCTGCTCCCAGGTCTTGCTCAGCAGGTCATGTCTCTCGTATCGCTGTAAGCTCTCGTCGGTTTTCCAACATCCCCGCCGCTCGATGGAGGCCACGTCTCGAAGGCCCTTCATCCTGTCGTGGGAAGCTCCCGAATGTCTGGCCTGGCACGGCACCGCGTTGGCTCACTGCCGATATAACCTCGCGCCAGCACGGGGTAGCTGAAACGCCGGAGGGGCTGTCCAGCCGCGCGTGCCTTCAACGCCTCAAGCAGCCCGTGCACCGTCCTCCAGAAGCCGTGATCCAGCGTGCAGCTCTGGTCGAACTCGTTGACCTTGTTTGGGGTCCCTCCCATAGGGGTTCAGGGTGACTCCCCAGCGGCCGCGCGCGGCGTCGGGTCGGATCAGGTCGTTGGGCCCCGCGGCGAGAAGGTTGCCTGGGTGACAGTGCGTGCTCCGCGACATCAAGACCGCGAGGCCCATCTCCAGCTTGCCGTCGCGGGAAAAGCATGGGGCGCCCGAGCGCGCGGAGGCACCGCGCTCACCCAGCCCTTGAGCGCCCGCCAGCTTCGCGGCATTCTCCGGGGCTCGCTCTCAACCCTCTCGCGTTTCCCGACGCAGGCGCGGGAAAGAAACGAACGTGTCGACGCGCGCCTGCGGGGGGGCGGATCAGCGCCCAGTCGACCCGAGGGGCGCGAGCTCGGGCCGATCAGCGAAACAAAGTGAAACCGATTCCTCGAGGCTCAATAACCCAGACGGGCGGGGTTGTCGACAGCGCCGCCGCCCCCGCCCCGACGCGAGACCACGGGAAAACAGGACGCGAGAAAAAGAAATTCGATCGAGGGAAGTATCGCCCCCGCCCAAACAGGGCTGCTCTCAACGATTAGGGGCGCGCCGGCCCCGCCCAAAATCGGCTGCTCATATCGACGGAGGACTCTGGCCACATCAAGCATGTCTTTTAATGCTCCGTGATGAGAGGTGCCAGTTTCCAGGGCTGCGACCACCCCGCAAAGGCCCCGTATTTGCGACGAGATGCAGGGGGAAGAAAAGAATGGAACGGACCCGACTCCAGAGAGACGCGGGGGGCTGAATTCCCGCGACCCCCAGATGCCGCGGAAAAAGGGGAGGAGGAAGAGAGAAAAGAGGAAAGACCTCCCCGAAGAGGGACATCCGCGCCCATACGCTGCAAAAGAAAAGGAATTGAGATCTACGCGGAGCTGCTGCGGGCCCCGCCGCGAGGACTCCACCTGCAGTCGCGGCCGCTGCGAGCTCGGCGAGGAAGAGCGACCTGGACGAGACTGCGACAACCGTCAACCGGGAAACAAATCTGAAGATCATGGGTCACCTGCGGGCGCCTATGGGCCCCCACCATC